TTTTTTTTTTCAAATGCACATTTAAAAAATGTTTTCCATTGTACTGACAGGGAAACTCAGCTTAAAGAATTTTTGGTGGTCCTTTTTTGGTGGTCCTTTTTTTTAAGTAAATATAAAATAGTCTCTTATTTGTTAACTAATTATCTCGGGCCAAGACAATCAGACATTTCACACATGGTTTTTTTGTTTATCATTTTTGCCATTGTTTTCTATAACATCTTTGTCATTGCTATTTTCTTTTTTTTTATTATTGTCATCAGTTTCTTTGTAATCTTTATCTTTATTCTATTTTTTATCTTTGTCTTTATTTTCTTCTGGTTTTTATTTCTCTCGTTCTTAATTTTTCATCTTTCATGTCCTTCTGATTCTCATTTCTCTCTTTCTTCGTTTTCTTTTTTTTATCTTTTATGTCCTTATTTTCTTCTGGTTCTTTGTCAGTATTTATTAAGTATTTTTAGGCTTATTTTTAAGTATTCATTCAAAACATTTTTCAGTTTTTCACTTTCAGCTTTTCTTTTTGCAGTTAATTTTCTTCTTTTGTCTGCAACTTTCGTATTTTCTTTCTACATCTCGTTTTGTTGGTTTCCAAATCGAGTAAAAATTAAAATATACTTTCTGTTATGAAACACACTATTAAAAAAAGCTTTTACTTTCTTGTTAAACATTTTCAATAAATGAATTTTCACATTGAATAATTTTTGTCGATTGTCTGGGTAGTTTACAAAGCTTGTTTCTTGCTCAATCCACAGGGTTATGTTAATTGCTTATTGCAGTTTTTCTATTTGGTTGGATCAGGGTTTGATAAAGGCACAATTGGGCCTGAGGCAGCAGATTTGCAGTGAGTCTACGGCCTATGATAACAAAATTTTTAAACTACAAAATATTCATTGTAATGAGTAGTTTTTAACAAAATAAAAAGTTTCACTAAGTAACCCTCCTGGATCCGTCACTAAAACTAACAAACCAATGCAATAAGTTGCAAATAATTCTTAAATGATACTGTAATTTTTGTGAATTCGACTGTTTGTTTATTTAATGAAATCTTAGACTACCAGACGTTCACTTTTCGATATTTCTTACTAGCAAATTCTTCAATTTAAATCAAGCTGCTGAAGTAGTCTACTTTCTATGCACAACAGTGACAGGATATTTGTGGATTTTTGGCCTATGATCGATCTTAAATTATTTTCAATAGGCTTAAGTTGAGAGAATGAACTTTTCTGCTTCTTACCATTAAACAAAGATACATTATTTACCATTAAATAAAGATGCATGTCTAGTGCAATTAACACATTTTGGAAAGCAGCCACGAGCCCAGACTTATCAATAAATATAAACATTTGTAATTTTCTACTTTTGCACATACAAGCTTTTTTTTAAGTTCGTAACGTTATAACAATAGTATTCTCCATTTTTTAACGTTGTGAGAATTTAACTTTCGATTTTTAATTGTTTAAATATTTTACAGTTGTTGTTGTTGTTTATATTAATATGCTTTTTATGTTATCTATGTTATATAATTAATCTCACATTGTTAATTTCATAATTTTTAAAATTGTTTGAATACAAGTTAATTGTTAATTTCAACCTTATTAAATAAGGTTGAAATTGACAATGAAAAAACAAAAACTAACAATTTTTAAAGTTAAACAAAAAAGTTTAAAAAGATTAATATATTAAAGTTATAGAATTTTTATCACAAAAATAATATTATAATTAAAAACAGAAGACCAAATTTTTTTACCGTGAAAATTTGGAGATAGAACCTTATTATTTTTATCTACCGATATGCTATTTTGTTTTATCAATTTATATTACTTAATAAATAATAAATAATGTTTATTCTGAGCAATAAATTTAACAACTTGATATTTTGATCTTTTAACTTGATGGATTTAATAAACTTATAAAACTTAAAAAACTTATAAAACTTAATAAACTTTTACTTTTAGTTTGAAAAATTGAAGAGAGTATAACAAATTTTGTTAAATTCTCTTAACAGTAAAAAAGGGAGTTAGAACACTATTATTCTAACGTCACGAGTTGACGTTCTTATTGTTAAACTGTTTGAATAAAGCAACAAATTAAAAGATTTCATCGAATAAATGAGGCTTAAGGTTTTCATGGTATTTAACCAATAAATGCGCGACTTTGGCTTGCAAATCATTAAATGTTAAAGTATAAACTTTCAACAAAAAAAAGTTTATGCTCTTGCTGATGCGTATCGTTTTGATACAGAATTTTGCATTTTTTTTTATTTCACTGAATTGAGAACAAAGCTCTTAAACAAAAAATAGCAAAATCATTGTAGCCGTATTCAAATCTAGTTTTGAATTGTGAAGACATTTTTTTGTCAAACCTTTCTCAAACCATTGACCATAGCTGGATCATTAGCCGCGTCTCTAACTTATTCATACCTACAGTAAGTATTTTGCTTCCGATTGCGTGTTATTTTATTTGTAACAAATATATGTTGTTGATTCAGTATGTCTGAATCAACAATGTTGATTCAGACATACTGAAATAAATCTGTTGAGTTGTTTTATATCTTTTCTGCAGTGCATCAACTGCATCGTGGTGAGCAGACCAATGTCGTTTTAATGTTGTTTTATAAGGAGTAAAGCCAGTTTAAGAGCGATCATATAGCAGTTAAGTTAGAGCGCTTGCTTTAGAAGCAAGAGATCCAGGATTCGAAATGAGTTCTATGCATATTTTATATTATACGAAAAGAAAAACCTTTCGATGACAATAACTTTATTCCACTTAAAATCTCTTCGAGAAATTGGAGACAATAGTTCTTTTCAGACATTTGCTTTATTATAAGACTTTTATCTTTTTGCGGGTTCAAAGATCCAACTTTTGATATTATGATGTTTTTGCCTTTTTGATGTTTTTTACGGTGGGCCTTTTTAATTTTTGATATTTTCTTGGAGTAGAAGTGGGCCTAAATTTTATAATTGTTTTTTTCTTTTTTTTATCTCAGTGAGCCTATTTTTTGTAGCGGGTCTGTGATAGCTAAAAAGCAGTACGATTTAGCCAAATAAAGTGTGATTTTGGAAATAATGAAAGAATATCCTGCGGGTCGCAATTTTCTTTATCGTAAAACGAATACGTCTTTAAAAATTCAACGTTATTTAACTAAAAGTTTATTTTTACAAACATTTTTATCCACTTTTAAACAGATCTTATAATAATCGTATCTTGCTTATAAGTGATCTTATAATAATCGTATCTTGTTCTTATACGATTGTACTTTGAGACATATTACGATGGTAATGTTATACAATGGTTATAGACCCTGCAGGGTCTATTACCATTGGATTATTCTTCAATGGTTATTCTAAAATACTTCCCTACTAGGGGAGTATTTTAGAATAACTGTTTTCCTACAAATCATAGACAGTATCTTGGCTGCTATGCAGAAACGTCTTTTTGCGTATTCAGGGGTTCGAGATAAGTTCTCCTTCCTACACAATATAGTTGATCTCCCTGACTCCTGTCTGCGTGAAGCCAGTAGAAAGTTGGTTTGTGCGTATTCCGCGGATCTGAGACCTTCACTAAGTCAAATAATGATTCAGTTTAAGTATTTCTTAAATAGTCTAACACAGGATGGCACGTCTCCACGTATGAAGAAGAAAGGCTCCAACTACTGCACAGTAGTACAGTATGACAGCGTTGCGTACTCCAGCGTTGCGATATACCTGACTCTAATGGTTGCCAATTGCACAGGTGAGCAATCATTATCTGCACTTGGATGAGTGAAAAATGCGATTCGCACAACAATGAATAATGAAAGATTAAATTTTTTGTCACTCACGACAATTGAAAAAGTAATCTACTACGCGATTTAAAATTTGCCAAAATCAACAACGATTTTGTCAAGCTAAAGTTCAAAAAGTAACTTTGGCATCCACTAAATAGGTGTCAATCATAGATATATAAATTACTGGATACAGCATAGGTAGAAATAATTGAAGCCGGGCAAACTTTGCCTTGATGACGTAGAGTGAGGCAGAAAATACAGTTTAATCAGCGTATATTATGAATAGTGCTTCCAATACCGATAGTACCGATACCGGTATACCGGTAGTACCGGACTTTTTCAAGTACAGAAAAACCGGTATTGGTTTGGCTCAATACCGGTATTAAAAATATATGTAGAGGGCTTGTGATATAGCAGATGGGAAAGCCTTCTTTTCGTGAAATACAAAATTAAATGATATATTTAAAACTTTCAGTTGCGATAAACAACACTCCTGGTGGGATAAAGATAGCTAAATGATAAAAAACGTGTTTAAAACGTGTAAAACACGTATTACTAACTATATTATTTCTTAAACGCGTCTTTTATCCATAGGTAGCGACTAGCTAGATATTCGCTGGCTAGTCGCTAGCTCATTTCCCACCGGGCTTGTTCATCTTGTAATAAGAGTATAAAATCAGGCTTGCTAAAGAGTTTGGAATGGAGAAAATAATAAGTTGTTTAATTGAATTTTTATAAAAAAAAATATTGTTAAAAATATTTAGTAAAAGATAAAACTTGTTTAATTTTAAAGTAAAATTTTAGCTTCCTTCTATTAATAAAGCACTGATTTAAAATATTATCATTACGTCACTTGCTTTAATGTAGATCCCGTGTTTGAGTTTTGCACTAACGTAAATGTGAAGAGTTTGAAGTCGTTACAGTTAAGAACATTTAAAAATGTCAAGATGATAGATTTTAATCGCTTTTCATGGTGTAACTTATAAATGTTAAGTTATAGAATTAACAGCAATTATAGTTACGCTTACTTAATTTTATGCATTTTACTTATGCATTTTGAATTAAGAACTAAAAATCAAGATTTTATGTTTAATAAATATAATTACCTTAATATCCAGAAAAACGTAAAACGTCCTAAAAATTATTCAAACCGTTCAGCACTGTTGAGTTGATGAAAGTTCTGCGTGGTTTTACTTTCTGCTTGATAAAGAAAACTAACTTGCAATGTGTAAGAAGTGCAAAAAAGAGATGAAATCAAATGGTGGAGTACCAGTGTACTGAATACACATCTAAAAACTAAACATGAAATTGACTTGCTGAATAGGAAATTGTCCAAGATGCAGCATCATCATCGGGTTTTTTTTATTGGTACCGTTATCAACGGACGAAAAATCCAAACCTCTGATCACCAATTTCTTACAAAATCAACGCTACAATTCGTTGTTTTCAGTTTTTATAGATTTAACACCCTTTATGTTGGAATCTTGGATTAGCGAGAGATATTGGTTCGTCGCCTGCTGAAAAATCATTGATTTAGTTCAAAAATTGATCATTTATTGAGGATGATATTTTAAACATCTGTTTGAATGTTTTTTACGGGCTCATTTTACAAAGGAGAAAAAAGAAAAAGTTAGTTATTTTGATATAAAAATAAATAAGCTTATTGAATCAATGAAATTTTAACTATTAACTTGAGATTTTATTCATATTATGATAAATTTAAAAAAAGTTTAATACCAGTGTAATACTGGTACTACCGGTATTGAAATTATTCAGTACCGAAAAACCGGTATTGAAAAATGGTATCGGTATTGGAAGCACAATGTTTATAATTTCATTTCAAGTTATATTTTGTATTAGTTCTTTGTATAGTTCATAAAACAATAACTTCGAAGGAATTTGAATTCATTTATAATTTATATATATTTTATTTACAGATGAACTTAATAAAGTAAATCTTAGCTTACTCAAAATTATAATATTTTAAAAATCAAAAAAAAAAAATGCTTTTCAAATACTGCAATGTAAATAATAATTTGATTAAAATAATATACCACGGATTACCTAATGAACTTGTATAATATTGTATAATCCAAGATTTATATGGAGCTTTGAGACTAACATTGAATATAAAATTATACATCTATATTTATGTATAATATATTTATCTATAATATGCATATATATTTATGTATAATATATTTAAAGATTTAGTACTTGTTTTAAAACGGTTAATTCTTGCAGTTCTTTTGGGTGTACAGCTAGATCTGTTAAAGGGATCTCCAGAAGTTTTCATAGGTAAGAATTTAGTATCTATATAATAAAAACATTTTGTTTTTGAAAAATCAATAGAAATTTATTATGTTGATTTTAAAAGACAAACACTGTATGTATAATGAATTCTAGCTATGCATTTTTAAATAGATTTCCTGTCAATCCAGATAAAAAAGCAGCATGGGTTCTTGCAACAAAGTGAAAGAATTTTGTCCCCACTTCTGCTTCTGTTTTATTTGTTCTGATCATTTTTCTAAAAATTGTTTTGATGAAAGCAAAATATCAGGTTACTGTTTAAGAAAATATCTGAAACCTGATGCAATACCAACAATTTTTGATTTTCCAAAACATTTAAAACCAACCACTAGTAAAATTCAAAAAGTACCAACAGAAAGAATGCTGAAAAAACAGATAGAGAAAGAAAAAAATGACAGTTTTTGAGAATACTTATGAAGAAAAGATGATTAGTACAAAGAAAAAAATGAGTGTAGAAGTTTGCATGGAAATTGAAGTCTTAATCCTGGTGTTAATGATTTAATTCAAAAACTGAAATCTAAAAGCAAATTAAAATATTCTCCATCATTGCGAACTTTTGCGTTAACATTGCATTTTTATTCAGCAAAAGCGTATTTGTCTTCCTCACCCAAATACTTTGAGAAAATGGTATAGTAGTATCAATGGACAGCCAGGCTTTACTCATGAAGCATTCTAAATTTTAAAACTGAAAAATAATGTATCTAACAAAAATTGTATGCAGTTTGATAATGGACGAAATGTCAATTCGAAAGCAAATTGATTGGGATGGGCATAAATCTTATGTCTTTATTAATTATGGAACAGGTTTTAATGATGAGTGTTGGTGTTGCTAAAGAAGCTTTTGTTTTGTTATTAGTTGCTATTAATGGACATTGGAAGATCCCAATAGCATATTTTTTAACAGATGGACTTAATTCAAAAGAGAAAGCAAACATTATTTCTGAATGCCTCATCAAAGTTCATGAAACTGGAATTCAAGTTATTTATTTAACTTTTGATGGTACAGCTGCAAATTTATCTATGATGAAAAGGTAAAGCTACAGTTACGCGGCTTAAAATAATTATATTTTTGCCAGGGGGTTTTGCTACATCGACTATCTTATAACCTAACTCGTAACGGAGTGCTGCTACATCAACTATCTTATAGCCTGCTGCTACAAGGAAGTGCTGCTACATCGACTGAGGGTTTGGCATGGGGAAGCAATCTTTTTTCTTTTATTATATCGATGTAGCAAAACCCTCTGGCAAAAAATATAATTATTTTAGGCCGCGTAACTGTAGGATTACCGATAAAAATTCTTAGTGCTGACTTTAATGACATAAGAAACCTGAAAACATTCTTTCAACATCCAGTTAGTGCAGAACCAGTATTTTTAATTCTGGATACTTGTCATATGTTATAATTAGTTTTAAAATTAGTTAGAAATTGCTTTGTTGAAAAGAAATTGCTAAAAGACAGTAATAATGGTATTATTAATTATGCTTTTACTGAACAATTGTATGAGCTTCAATCGAAAGAAGGAATTCATGCTGCTAATAAACTGAAAAAACACCATATTGAATGGAAACAAAAAAAAATGAAAATGAAATTGGCAGCACAAACCTTAAGTAAAATTGTTGCAGATGCTCTTGATTTTTGTGCAAACAAGTTAAAATTGAAAGAGTTCCAAGTTTGTGGACCAACTATCAATTTTATTTAGCTTACAGGCAAAAGTTTTGATTTAATAATCAGTCGAAATTTTATTGGTAAAAATCATAAAGCTCCTATCTCTTTAAGCAATTTGGAATACTGTACAAATTTTGTCAATATGATATGTCAGTACTTGTCCAGTTTGACAGACAGTGCTGATAGCTTAATTTATAAAACAAACAGAAAAACTGGCTTCATTGGATTTATATTTAGCCTTCAATCAGTAATTCAACTTAGCCAATACTTTATTTTATCTTCAGAAAGCCAATTTAAATTCTTGTTGACATACAAACTGAGTCAAGATCAAATTGAAATGTTCTTTAGTGCTATTAGAAGTCAAGGCGGTTTTAATAACAATCCATCACAAAACAGTTTATGACAACGTATCGGCGTTTGTTAGTACATCACTCATTACGCAACATAAAATTGGTAATTGTTTAGCTCAGGATGCTACAGAAATACTTTCTGTAACAAACAGAATTGAAAATCATCAGGAATGTAAATTTAATGACGATGGTTCAACTTTATTTATAGCTAATGAGGATACTACACCAGTAAGTATTATGGAACCATCACAATTGTCTGAATATTCTGAAGAAGTAGTGAAGTGTATAGGTGGATTTGTTAGTAGAAAACTAAAAAGATCTATTAAATGTAAAGCCTCTTACTGATGATAATTCACAAAGTTTACTTGTTGATCAAAAAAGCAGAGGTGATCTTCTTTATCCATCAAAAGATGTTATTGTAATTTGTTCTTTTGTTGAAAAGTTTATTAGACATCAAGTTATATATGTATAAATACTTAAATATGCAACAAGTTATATATTTATTAGTTATATAGTTAGAATTTTATAGTATATAGTTAGAAATTTATATATATATATATATATATATATATATATATATATATATATATATATATATATATATATATATATATATATATATATATATACATATATATATATATATATATATATATATATATATATATATATGTATATATATATATATATATATATATATATATATTTATATATATTTATATATATATATATATATATATATATATATATATATATATATATATATATATATATATATATATGTATATATATATATATATATATATATATATATATATATATATATATATATATATATATATATATATATAATTTTAAGAAAAATACTGGCAAGCAACAAGCTGTTTCTTTAAATTGACCCTATAGTTAAATAAAATAGTCTCAAAAGTTGAGAGCCTTAACTCTAAAAACATCTGAGTCAGGCTGCAATATTTTTTATATCCAAAAAACATTTTTGAACATTTGTTATAGCAATATCGTAGGTGCGCTAATGTTCTTGTGCTAAAACTGTTCCATAGGGAAGCATTATATATACATATACAATGTGATTGGAATAATCTTACTTTGACTAGGCTTGAACACCTGTAAAAGCGCCTTATTAGCATATTTGTTCGAGTATATAGATTTTTTATCTCTTTTTTTATATCAGTATCATCTGCTAGATCATTTTTCACAATATGACCAAGGTATTTAAAGCTGTCAGCAAATTCTAGATTGCAACCTGCTACACTCAATTTTAGAAATGACAACGACACAATTTTTGATTTTTGCTTAGGGTTAAAAACCATACAAACTATCTTCTTTGTGTTAAAAGACATATTAATTAATAAGACCTCGGTAATAATTGCATTCAATAATTTTTGTAGAGACAACCATGATGGAGCTATAATTACTATGTCATCAACATAAGCAAGAATATTGAGAAAAATCCCTCCTATATTGCAACCAATCGCATATTTGAAATTTTAAATACACGATTACTAATGTAAAACCTAAATAGTAACGGTGATAAAACACCACCTTGTCGCACATTTCCACCATTTCCTATACTAAAAGCAGGAGATTTAGCTTTCTGCCAATTAATACACATTCCTGGTTGCTGTACCAGAATGCAAGCAGACTTACAATATTTTTTGGAATTCCTTGATCTAATAGGTTACAGAACAGAAGCCAGTAATCAACGTTATCAAATGCTTTATTAAAATCTATAAACGATGTAAACACATGACTACCTCTAGATATGTAGTAATAAATAGCTTTCTTTAAGTAATTTGTGCATAAGGTTGTAGAATGCTTCTGTTTAAAACCAAACTGATAATCATCTAAATTGTCTGGTATATTTATTTTTTGTAACAAAATATTTTCAAATATTTTGGATATAGCTGGGGATAGTGCAACCGCCATGTAATTGTTCACATCAGTTAGGTTGGCCACTTTTCACTTCACCAAAAGAATAATCGAAGATTCACAGAACTTGAATGGTAAATATCCATGTCTTAAACAGAGATTAAAAAACATACTAATTAGAAAATGTAATCTTTTTCCACCATATATAAAAGCTTCCATACATATACCATCAGGGCCAGTTGCTTTCCTGATTTTTGATTTTTTATTGATGCGCTAACATCATTGACATTTATGTTAATATCTAAATTACCTTGTGTAAGTAGCTGGATTTTCTCAGCAAAGTGGTCTTTGTACTCTGTATTTTCTATAGAGTTATATATTGTTTGAAAGTGATCTCTCCACATATAAGCTATGTCATTATTTCCCAAGGCTTCCACACTAGCAACGTAACTCACCGCTTTTTTGGTTAGTGATACGATTTATACTGCTCCAAAACTTTATTGGATCTGTGTTATAAAAATTTTATTTGCTCACTATGTCTCTTACAGTGTCTCATAGCAATTTTAAAGTGGCACGAGTACTCTTCATTTTCTCAAAAAGATCACCATATTTTAGCTTCCCATGCAAAATCTATAGTCTAAATGCATCTCTAGCAATATCATGCTTGTCTTTAACAAAATTGTTCCAACCAGGAGTGTTGAATTCAGAATTTATATTGCTGCCCTTGCTGTGTGGTATAGTGTCAGCCACAACAGATTGAATACAAATCATGAGGTCGCCATAAAATAAGTCTATATAAACATCAGCCCTATAGGTAACTCCTCTGTCATCAGTAAACAAGTTAAATGGTACATATATAGATTGTAATAAGTTGTCTAACCTTTTCTCATAAAGGGATAATGACTTGTCATTACAAGTCTGCCATTTAGTATTACTACCAGACAATTTCAGATAAGGATTGTTATTTTTTATTTTGTTTGTATTTTCCAATGAGCAAGAAAAAGAGAACGTTATTAGTTTATGATCTGATGCTATAATATCTGTTAGAACTGAAATATCTATTAACAGATTATCAATTGTTGAGCTGCACATACTATTTTTCGCAGCGAGATTTGAGAACTCATCAAAAAATCTAGACCCTTCTTCACAATTGAAGTCGCCAACATTAATATGAATAATATCTGCCTTAGCTATAATAGACTTTATTTTTGAGCATAAATCAATGTAATTATGGAGACTATGCTCATCGTTATAATTTGTTGGCATGTATACATTTAGTAACAGCATAGGACCAATTTAAGACAAGTTTTAGACACGAGATTCTGGATTCGTAAGATTCAATAATTTGAATACTTTTAGCAAGATCTTTTCGATATAATACGGCTATACCACCATATGGTCTTCCAATCATTATATCGGATGAAATATTTACAGCAGATAAGCCAGTACCATAAAACTCATTATGAACATTATTTAATAAACCAAGCTCATAGGGCAATAACCAATGCTCTTGGAGCAAAATAAAGTCATATTCATTATACATGTTCTATATAGCAAAAACACTATTTTTAAACGAGCGACAGTTGAAGGAAGAAACTGATAAGCTATTATTGTTGGTCATTTTTGGGCTTAAAATATCCTCTTACAAGTAGACCATTTGGCCAGGCTTCATTTAACATTAGACAATCTACTTTACTTTTTAACTGAGAACGGTCAACAGAAACAGATATATAATATGAAGAGTATCCAGGATATTTAGACTTTAACTTTTCACATTTTACAGAGTGATCATTTTCAATTTGCAAAATATCATAGGTACAATCAATAACATCTTTCTCTGTAGTTAGAGGATCTAGTATTGAAACAAAAAAACAAACATTTCTTTTAGACAGGTCGTTCAGTGTAGGTTTAAGTCGCTTATTGGAATCAGAAGAACCTATAATAAGATTATTCGTTTTAAATACCTTTTTCTTTATCGGTTGTTTTCAAATACCATTTCTAACATTATCTGAGGATAATTGACGTACTGATGTTTCTGCTTGTATTTGTATAGGTTGTTCTTTTGTTAGGTGAGGATAGTCAGCATTATTTAGAGTTTGACTGCTGTTAAAATTTTTATAAGCATGTTGAATTTGGTTTTCATTGGCCGGTTGACTTTGGTTTTTATTTAAAACATGGTGGTTCATTGTATTTATCATAATTTTCAATTCATTCTGAAAACTCAAAAATTGTTTTACTTCTAATCGAAGATAAGTAACCTCCTGGAGCAATTCACTAATATCAATATGTTCTATTCCAACAGGGGGCAATCTAGATAAATTCACTGCATAGAAACTAGGCAACTTATTATTAGGGTCTAGAAGCACCTTTAACAAATCTTCCACGGATTTCTTACACTTGTCACTTCCATGTCTTTTTACAATACGCTTTTCAGGAAGAAGTTGACACATCACTGCTTTGGCTTCAAGTATTTCTTCCTCATTAAAGTTGCAAATAATTTGAACATTTTCATCAAAACTTAATACATCAGATTTATTTTTTAAAAAACAGAGCAGTTCACTACGAACAACGCCCAAGGGGCTTTCATAATAATATATATATATATATATATATATATATATATATATATATATATATATATATATATATATATATATATATATATATATATATATATATATATATATATATATATATATGTATATATATATGTATATATATATATATATATATATATATATATATATATATATATATATATATATATATATATATATATATATATATATACATATGTGTATGTATATATATATGCATTTGGTCGCCCTTTGCTGGAACAACACCCTTAAGTCGCTATGTATAACAAACGGCAACATGTCAGATAACCTCAATATTTGCATTGAACTATTGTCTAAGTCGTCCTTAGGAGTCATGTCTCACCAGTTATCACGTTATTTAACTGGTCCTTTGGCCAACCCATCAAATGAATTGAAGTTACAAGCTACAAGTGCACCCCTTCATAAAGAGAACTCTTGGCAAAGTAGATTCTTTTTTAAAAAAGAGCACCAAATGCAGAGATAACTTTTATTGACAGTATCTCTAAAGTTAAGGCTAACCACTCTGTGGATTGGCTTCTTACTAAAACTTTTGAGAAGAGAGAAAAGCTAGTCTTCTTTTGCATTAAAAGGGGTGTTCAGGCAAGACAAACTGGTAAAGAAAGACAACTGAGAAATGAAAAGGTCTTGATTTTTTAATTGTTTAGCTTTATTGAAAAAGGGCCAAGAAGAGACATGAAAGGCAGAAATAAACTAGGCAAGAAAATAAAACAGAGTTTAAAGGAAGGCTTGACAGCAGATGATAAAATTTTTGATTCTGTAGCTGGACACCTATGAGAAATGTTACACAAGTTTTTTGAAGAAAATCTTAAGTCACTCGAAGGTATGGAGATTGAACATGTCTGGAATGTGCCTAATTCCGATGTTTTTTTTAGAGATAAAATTTTAAAGTTGTCTTGTCCAAAGAATAACTCAGATAAATTTAAACGAAAATAAATGAACTAGAGGAAGAGGCAGAAGATTCTAAATTAAATTTGGATATTATCTTGACAGAAATGGTTTTAGAAGATTTAGTTTTTTGCTAACCTGTTAATTTGTATTTAACATAAAATATTTATTTTGTACGAACTACTATTTTATTAGGTCTTTATTTATTTCCAAAAATAAATTTTTCATGTCAAATTTTTTTTGTCAGTTCCCCTTCCTTCCCTTTGATCGGACAGGGGGTCTGCATATTATTTTCCCTGCCCTTAGTTATTTAATTTTACTCCCGCATTAAGTTAACATAGAAGTTATTAATTTTTTTTTTTTTTTAATTTTACCCCCTATCTCCTTTCTCCGTCATCCCTCCCTCTTCCCCCTCCCCCCCCCGGCTCACTTGCATTGTCTTTCTAAGGAATATTTTATGGATGACTCATTGAATACTTACATTTTAAGTTAAAAATATTGCATCTTAAGTTAAAAATATTCTTAAACTTATTAATACATAGTAATTTAAACAAATTTTTAATAACAGTAATATGCTTTATAACACATATATTATATTGCATATTACTTTTATTAAACCACTGTTTACGAATCTCTATAAAAATCGTTTTGCCTCACTCAACGTCACTTCTTCAACGGTAGCTCGGCAGCAAAATATTTTCCAAAATTATAAGGTCAGACATGTGTACGCTGTATCCAGTAATTTATATATCTATGGTGTCAATTCGTTCACATTTAACTTGTATTCATTTACTGAACTAACGGTTGACTAACGTGAGTGAGAGTGAGTTGAAACTTGCTGCATATACCTAGCAGCTTAAACTTACTGCATATACTTAGCAGTAAAAGTAGGCCTAGGCCTAGGCCTACTTTTACTCTATGTTATAAAATAAATATACGCACATCAACATTTTACTATTTTTTCCGTCATATAGGTAATTTTTGCAAAAGAGGGCCCCTAATATGTCCCTATTACTTAGTCCGCCACTGGGTACAGTACAAGAAGAAGACTTTTCGGGTTCCGGAACTATTTTGAAAGCAAAAAACATTTTTATGTGCCACCAGTTTTATCATATCTCCACGAAGAATTGTTTTTCTTCGTAGAGATTATAACCGATTGGTAGATGCGACGACAAATTTTAAAAACTTTATTAACTTCATTATCAGAAACAACCTTTATTTTTGTTTGCTGATTAGTAAACAATAACAACTAATTATAGTTACAAATAATAACAGTATCAAACAGCACCGATTAAAATTTATTATTAAAAAAATAAAATATTAAATTAAGATGCATAAAAAATATTTCTATCGACGAAGATGGGATTCGAACCCACGCGGGCAGAGCCCAATGGATTAGCAGTCCATCGCCTTAACCACTCGGCCACCTCGTCATATTTTATAATTTAAAATATATGTTTATCTTTATTTTTAAAGAATGTGAAACATAAGTATCCCATTTTTCGAAATCAAATTTGTATATAAATTAATGTAACTAATCTTATTAATAAGAAA